GTACAGTTCTTGTATTTTTAATATTTTTTTTAAGAAAGGTAGAAAAAAGTATATTTTTTATTTATTTATTCATTTTTCTGAAACTATCAGCAAATATTTACTCATATCTTAGGATTATGTAAAGTGATTTGAAAGGAAGCTAAAAATGCAATAATATACAGGGTGTTCCATTTAAAAAAATCATCCCGATCCACTCACACTTTTTTGAGCCATCCTATAGAAGAATATTTTTCTGTCATACATCTTCGTACGTACTTTAGGTTTACACTTATAAACTTCCAAGCTTTTTATTCTAGGTCCTAGAATCTAGGAGCTACAGATGCCCGGCGCACTATTGCCGGACCCTGTATATACATAGATTACCAAATATTCTTTAATGAAATAAAATCGTCAGGGGTTAGACCTAGTGAAAAAAAAAATAATTTTGGATAACAACAGCATGAAAGTAAACGTGGAAGTACTATCTACTACCGAAAATTATAGCAGTATGAAATCATTTAATACTGCTAATCTAAATATCGGGTCTTCAGACTTAGATGAGAAATACTGTTGGAAATACTGGTTTGTTGATAAATTGATAACACCAGCATCTAAATTTCTAGAGAAAGACTCAGGTATGTTAAGATACTAAAATTAAATATGCTATGTGGGATAATGTTTGATTTAATTTTAGGATGGGCCTTACTTATTGTGCTGATTTTGAATCAACCCTTAAACCGATTAAAACTGTTGAACCAACTGCTACTAAATCCTATACTTTAAAAAGCGTCAAGTACGAACCCTATTCGTTCGCTTATTCGATAAAATGTTCTTTCATCGATTCTTTTACTAACAACGATTGTTTTCCGCATAGAAAATGATTTAAGAAATATTTATAACGCATATTTGAAAGGTTTATTCCATTAAGCGCAAAACAAAAACTTGAGTTTACTAATGCAAAAACATGTTTTATATATAAAATCACAGATTTTGATCTTTGAAGTTAGAGACCACTGCCACCGTACCGGAAAATACAGAGGAGCGGCTCACGGAATCTGTAACATAAATTAATCAACCTATTGTAGTTCACAATTTAAGTAGCTACGATTATCATATATTGCCCAGAGTAAAGAAAAATATGTCTCGTTTATCAAAAGAATCTACGTTCAAGATTATGTAGGTAGTAAGGGCGAGGCTCGAGGCGAGGTAAAAAAGAGATATTTAAAATTAAGATTTATGGACAGTTCTAAATTTGTATCTACATCTCTTGCAAATTTAGGACATGGTTTGCCTCTTGAAAATTTTAAGGAAACCAAAAAACAATTTCAAAAAAAAAATTGACTTGATGCGTCAAAAAGGTGTATTTCCGATTACTTTTATGATAGTTTGAAGAAATTGGATACCTGTTTACATCCTACCAAAAACGAATTTTACCATGATTTAAACAATGAACATATTAACGACGTGGAATACTAAAGAGCGCAAGAAGTCTGGCGGCTATTGCAAAACTCTAGGAAACTATTCGGATTTATACTTAAAATCGGATACCCTTCTTCCTTGCGATGTTTCCGAAAATGTTCTCGACGCAAGTTTAAAAACCTTCGTCATACGTATGCTACGTATGACCAAGGTAGAGTGAAGCTGAGCGCGCACTGAATAGGTACTGGCCCGTCGAACTGACTACGAACGACCGACAATTTTTAGTTTGCATTGAAATAAATGTAACGACGCGCACTGAATTGAACCGGTCCTCGGTATCGTCGGTACTCGGCGACCATCCGGTGAAACCTGTGAATACAGGAAGGGGGACAAAATTTTACGAACAGTCTAACGCCGAGCTACTGTTTTTAGTGGAGCATTTCTGATAGCAGGTTTTACATTAAACCCATGTTCAACGAATCCATATACAGCAGAATCTCGTATCTAAACTCTCTTTCTAGATTTACTACCTTAAGTTAAACATCGACAAAACTAAAATCATGTGCACTCCCCCGGAAGATCATAACAATGCTATAGAAATCTGAGGAAAACAATTGGAATATGTAGCGGAATTCAATTATTATCTCGGCAGTTTGATTTCGGAAAAGGCCAATAGCGACTCTGAAATACCGCACAGGACTAGCAGCGCCTCAAGAGCATATTGGAAATGACAGGGTTTTCTACAATCATGACTTGAGTACAAACACGAAACTTGCAGTGTACCGAGCAATTATAATCCCCACCATGTTATATGGGAGCGAAACCTGAGTGCCGATGCCGTACCGCCGACACATGAACACTTCAAACAAGTTGTAACAGAGAGACCTTAGACAACTCTTGAGAATCCGGTGGTTCCATCAGGTCTAAAACGTATCTATCCTTGAAAAAGCTAACTGCGAGAGTAGTGAAGTCATGGTTACAAAATCCCACCTAAAATGGGCTGGTCACGTGTGCAGAATGAAAAAAAACCGCATACCAAAATCTCTTCTTTGCGGTGAGCTTGTAGACGGTAAGAGGAGGCCGGGTGAACAACTCAAAAGGTACAAGGACATTTTTCACAAAAACTTAAAGGGGATTAACATGCAGAATGAATGGGAAAAAGCAGTTCATAATAGAACCCAATGGAGAAGAATTGTAAACTCAGTTAACAACGACAACCAAAAAGTAGAGAGGCAACAAATCAACGAGACATTTGAATGTCCGGATTGCGGTAGGCAAATAACATCACGTATCGGGCATTTCAGCCACAGAAAAGCTCATGAAAGAAAACGCCTTGCGTGACCATCGTCAGCGAGTAATGGCAGTATATATGTATGTAGTAGTAGAATAATAGTATATTGCCTTATTAGGAGTAAAAATTACACTTTTTGTGGCAAGGCTGTACCTTTGACATTAGTACAGACTATAGATGTTCCTGTTTACCCTCAGTCACGTCATATTTTCATAATTCGTAATATTTCCATAAATATAATAGGCATGAAGGCAACGGCCTAGCTACGTCGAAACATCGGTTCCGATTAGAACACCGAAGTTAAGCGACGTAAGACGATATATATGGATGGACGGGTGACCGGTTCAAAACTCTGTATCGTGCTGTTGTCCAAAAAAAAGGCGAAAGTGTAAAATCTATTGACACACACTGCTCATTCACGCCGGTTTGAGGCCGGATGAGATCGGATATCTCGTGAGTAAGAGTCGATTTAGACACTTGCCAAGTCAGTAGGCCATTGACCATGATATGGCCAAGGACCGCGGTTCGGATTCCGCGTAAACAAAGTAGGTCCCGTCCAGATTAGCCCTGGCAGCAAAAAGGAGACGTTAACTGAAATCTTTACTTTACTTTATAATAGGAATGAATGGTGCGGCGTCTTTTTAAATTCAAATTTCAATTAAACGCAAAAGTTTACTTAAGGCAGGATGAGATACAGAGGCCACTAGCTTTTAATTTTACAGCCGTGTGATCAGCGTTCGAAGATGTTAATAAAAGGGCGCGCAAGATTACTACTCTATGCACTCAAATCAAAGATAGAAATATTAAGCAAAACTCCAACACTGACCTCGAACTGTTGAGTGCAACTACCATGAACTTCAAATATTACTAACTACTATTTTAACTTTAGTAACTCTAACTTAACTTATGAGACCAGACTGCAAATAATAATACTAAAAATATTTAAACAATTTATTAAAATATTAAAAAGTGAAATGTATAAAAAGAAAGGCACCACAGCAGAATAGTACGCCGCCAGGCCGCATCTTCTCAAGAACTTGATCGCACCAATGTGAAACGGCTCATATGTGTTCTTCAGCAACTTCCAGCCGCGCCCGCGTGTTGATCGTGATCGCTGCCGTGATCGCACAAGTGTGCGTATAGCTTAAGGTACAGTGTCCAAGGCGCGACTACAGCCGCCGCGGTCGCTAGTCGCTCCACTGTTAATATAGTGTTTTTTTGTACCTTATGTCCAACAGGTGACACTTGCCTGTGACTCCATTTGAGCCGCAGCTTGACTGCTTAGTGCTTGGACAGCAGTGCAGACGCCATCGCCAGCTATTCGGTTTTTCACTAAGTAATCCGAAATATACCGACAATTTGGCGGACAACGAATTTGGCTATGTTTTCCATACTTTAGTCTGGCATATAAATTGGTATTATTTTCTTCTTTAAAACTGCTAAGGTCTTCTTTATAGCCCTACTTATATAACTGTGATGGGGAAAGACAAAAGCCAATAATCGAAGAGTTTCGCCGGTTGCCAGATATTTGATTTTTCATTAAAATTAAATTACTTAATTAGATTTTAGTATAAATATTGACCTCAAGGTAACACTGTCCCTTAATTCATAGACAGTGCCCCTTCAATCAATGACGACAAAAAATCGAATTGATTGTGAATTCAGTTTAAAAAATTCCCTAAAATTTTCATCATCGGTTGGGACACAATTAACAGCGCGGCGGGACCACAATTATACGCTATCGTCAATTTAAAGTATCCTTTTATTAAATTTGATTGATAAAAATTGAGAGATAAACATTTATTGACTGCTTACTTTTTCCGTATACTATTAAAACTAATTTTCTATACTAGAGTATTTTTAAAAATTGGGATAAAGGCATTTTAAAACTCCGAAATATATCAACTGAGTGAAGAAAGATCCACAATTTGAACTTTTATCCGCTAATTATCAACGCCGCTAAAGAAAGTTACATCTCCAGAAAATGACTTCACGAGATTTTACGTTACAGCGGGATGGCTTTGTAGTTTCGGTAGTACCGGTTGATTCCGACCATGTGAAATATTGAGGCTTCGCTCAAGATCAATCTGAACTGCTGCCGAGAGCCCGGCGCGGCATGTCAATCGCGGGTACACGAAAATTAGTAGAGTTGACTAGCTGACTTGTGAGTAAGCTGTTGTTATACGTTTCGATTTGAGGACGGAAACTACAGAACAATTTTTTTCAAAAAGTGGACATAAGGTTATTGTAAATATACTAGTTAAAACTATTGCATCTAATTCAACACTTTATATGACCTGTTTATTTACAGGAACTGTGCTTGCACTAGCATTCAATCCCACCGGCGATCTATACATTGCCGAATCCGACACACGCAACACGTATTACATCCGACTCATAGACACCACCGGCAAAATTACGTATTTTGCCGGTACACTGCAATCGAAGAGCAAAAAGTGTCAATGTCCCGTGAACGTAACAACGACAAGCCCCATTAGGACCAGCCGAGATTTACCTGCCGATTGTTTATGTTCGTCTGGCGACGACACCACCAGCAATGCCGAAACGTTGCTGTCCTCCAATGCTCGCTTCCAAACCATTTCCGCCATTAGCGTTTCGCCAGGTGGAACAGTATACATAGCAGATCAAGGTGAGTGGTTCTGTTGTCATTTTAACTTTTTCTCATCTCATTAACCACAAATATTATTTCTATCAATTTAACCTATCAAAGCCGGCATTTGTTTTCTTACACAAATTGAAAATGTAGAGCGTGTGTTGCATCGTCGACTTGAACATAGTAAATCTCATGTAAATTTTAAAAATGATGAATAAAGTTTCCCCATTTTACTTACAGAAAAATGTATTTGAAACTTTCTTTTAAAACTTCTTAGAATAAAGGAAATTGTTTATTTCGAATAATTTATACGAATTACTATCAGTAGAGTGTTATAGGTTTAATAATTACATAGAGTGAATTATTTGTTTTTACTACATCACTATAAGAAACTGATGGAATGTTCGAATTTTTATCCACTTCCTGTACTTAGATTCTATATCTTCTATATTTTTCTTTAACACTTGTGTCGTATACTCTCTCCCTTTATCTATTGTATTAAATAATTCTTTTTCTCTTGATAAGCATTCACTTTCTTTTCGTAAAATTGTAGGTACACTTGGGTGAGGCAAAAAAATTAACCTATCGAATTTATGGGTTAAAATGAACCTAATAACCTAGAAAAAATATCCCCGGAAAGCAGGATTTTTAGCTCAATTTTAAAAGGTGTCGGTGATCATTCAAAGTTTTCCATTTAAATAACACGTAAAAAATATTTTACCATTAAAAATACCATATTTTTGAAACGGTTTACGATACTACGATAAACGGTTACGTACGTATAAATTTACATCGCGGATTCTTGTAGAGTAGAAAATTTCCTAAAAAAAAATCTGAGAGTAATTTTTTTCAATTCAATAATTCGTATATTTGAAAGCTTTGAAAGGTGACAAAAATCACCAAATAAACACTAAAACTGCATTTTTTCACTTTTCAAAGCTTTCAAATATACGAATTATTGATTTGAAAAAAATTACTCTTAGATAGATTTTTTAGGAAATTTTATGCTCTACAAGAATCCGCTATGTAAAATTTTTTTATCGTAAACCGTTTCAAGGTTATGGTACTTTTAATGGAAAAAGATTTTTTTACGTCTTATTTAAATGGAAAACTTTGAATATTCATCGACACCTTTTTAAATTGAGCTAAAAATCCTCCCTTCCGGGGATATTTTTTCTCGGTTACTACGTTCATTTTAATCCATAAATTTCATAGGTTAGCTTTTTGGCCCACCCTAAGGTACACTAAGAATTAATATCTACAGTACTAGACGTTAGTCTTTGTTCTACGATGCCTTTCAGAGCATATACGAGAATTCAATTGAATCCACCGTAAACCATTTAGCACTGTTTTTAAAGCACCCTCTATGAATATATACACAACACTTTAAACTAGGTTTATCCACAGTTTCAAAACAAATTTTACCCTTATTCTTATCATTTTATCGGGCTCTTTAGGCTCCTCAGACATTGCGTTCGACACGCCCAACATGGCGCGTTTCAATATTATTTATAGTTTTTGTTCGTTTCGGAAAACTTGACACTTTATGTGAAACGGCTTGATATATTTTCCCGTCAAGTGGTGTAGCCCTTGTATAGGTCTCTATAGATTTAAGTTTTAAAAGTTAGTCTGGAAGATTATAGCATAGAGTGTGGATCAGAAATATTTCTCTCTATAATATTTAAGTCATAGGTGCCCGGTGGCGTAGAGGTACAGGCTCTCGTCTACCAATCTCAAGGTGTGGGTTCGATTCCCACACCCGGCCTTTCATCAGCCGACTATTTTTATTAAAATAAAAATAGTTTGGGTATCTAGGTCGACTCAGCCTTAAATGAGTACTTGGGATTCACAATCCTGAGGTAATAATAGGCGGTTGAAGCGTAGTGCTAGCCACATTACCTTCCTTGTATACCGAACGGCTTTAGTATAGCAAGCTGTACCTTGCTACTCCCAAGGCGTTAAGCGCTATATACGGGAGCTATTATTATTATTATTATTATATATTTAAGTCGATTTTATAATAAAGACACATTGTTTATTCGTTGTATCTTTTATTATCTGCTATTTCGAACATATAGCACTTATAATCACTTTAACCCTCATAATGTCATTAAAATCGCTAAAGGCATTTGCAAGGAATAATAAAAATGATGAGTTAAATAAAAAAACCATTTATGATTTTTATAATTTTTAATTTCTTTTTGTTCAGATCTACGAAGCAATAGACTGTATATTTAATTTGTGGATTAATTAAAATGTAATTTAATCACAAATGGAATTAAATGAAGTAAATATTATTAATTTAAACATTTTCAATACGCATTTATAGAAAGCAATATAAATGGAAGAAGTAAAAGACGTAATTGTTACAGGTTCATTGCACATTCTTGCCTTAGAACATTATTTGCCAACCCATGATGAAAACGGAGAATTTCGAATACCTTTTCCATCTTCAGGCGAAGTTTACGTTTTCAATAGATATGGACAGCATGTTGCAACTAAAGACTTGTCTAGCGACAAGACTCGATATTCCTTCTTGTACTCTAAAAATACTAGTTTTGGAAAGCTATCGACAGTAACGGATAGCTCAGGAAATAAAATCCAATTTTTACGGTAAGTACCTAGGCATTCAAATTATAATGTTTATAAAAATAAAGCATTTACTTTTAAGTCAAAGGTAGATTTAATAAGTAGAACTAAATGATTTTGCGTTATTCCGCATTCATAAATAATATCTACTACCTTTGATTTTCCCAAAAAAAATTTCTTTCGTTTAGTTTCTAGCAAAAAGAAAACAGTCGCATTTTTCCATGATTCCAATGTGCATAACCCCAAATTGCATTTTTCTGTGACGGAATACAAAATTTATCGACATTAATTGTTTTAGAGATTACAGCAACGCAGTGAGTTCGATCGAAAATACCCAAGACCATAAGTCGGAACTGAAGATGTCGGGCATGGGGTATTTGTCGAAACTAAGTGAGAAAGGAAGGTCGGAAATTGAACTGGATTACGACCAGAACACGGGACTTCTGCTTAGTCGCAGCGGGGTAAGTGATCGACTTAGTGCAGGACGTTCATTCTAGTTCATCTCTATCCTTTAAGCACAGAGCACAGAATTTAAAGAGAAGACAGGCGACAAAACTTTCTTATGAATTGCTGCCGACATTGCCAGACGTTACCCAATTTCACTGGAATACAATTTATGTTAAGAACGCATTTTTAAAATTTAAAATATTATATTTAAATTTCATGCGTAAAACATCAATATCTTAATAAATCGCTTTACTATTAACTACTGTTTGTGGCTATTTTATTCATAATAAAACAATTATTGAATATATTAAAGCTTTGTTTAACATTCATTGTTAGTCATTTCGCAGTATAGAAAATATATTAGCCATTTAATTTTTATTCTTAAATAACTTAAGGAACATTTAACAGTAATTTCAAGAAATAAATTCGACAATTAAGCAGTTGATTCAAATTTGTTTTACAAAATATTTGGTGTTTTAATATCAGAACAATATCATTAGAATAAACTTGTCAATTTCGTGTTTCTTATTTAAATGGCATTAAATCGTGTCCCTTTAACTCGGAGTTTCTTTCTGTCTTTGTCTAATTTACTTGCTTTGTCTGGCTGTCTCCTCTTTATATTCTGTACTCTGTGCTTTAGGTATACAGAGTCCCAGGCTCAGCGTGCATTAGAAGTTTCTAGAGAACTACAATATCTAGATCGGAGATATTTTGCACATTACTGTTTCACAACGAGATCTATCGTTTATAAATATTTTCAATATGGCGGCACTTCCGGAAATACCGGAAGTTGACAGCAACTTTCTAATTTTAAATGGATACCCCTATTTTTTATTACATGCTTAAATTCTCTGCAAAATTTTATGAATTATGATACACTTGATATCAAACACTCTATACCTAACATTGACCTTTTTTGAGAAAAAAAATATTAAAATTTTTGGACGAAAAAATCTGCCTGTCAAAAAAGTTGCTATAGCCTAAACGACAAATTTAATGATTACTACTACTACTACTATGCCATGCATTACTCGCTGACGAGTATTTGACACGCATCAAAAGATGGTTACGCAAGGCGTTTCCTGTCATGAGCTTCTGTGACTGGAGGGCCCGATACGTGATGTTATCTCTCTTCCGCACTCCGGACATTCAAAAATCTGATTACTTTGTTGCCTCTTTACTTTTTGGTTGTCGTTATTAACTGAATTTACAATTCTCCTCCATTGCGTTCTATTGTGCTCTGCTTCCTCCCACTGATGCTGCATACTTATCCTCTTTAAGTTTTCATGAACAACATCCTTGTATCTTTTGAGTTGTCCACCCGGTTTCCTCTTACCCTCTACAAGTTCACCGTAAAGAAGAGATTTCGGTAGGCGGTTTTCTTGCATCCTGCATACGTGGCCAGCCCATCTTAAGCGAGATTTAGTAATCATCACTTCAGCGCTCTCGCAGCTTGCTTTTTTAAGGACTGATACGTTTGAGACATGGTGGTACCATTTGATTCTTAAAAGTTGTCTAAGTTGTCTCTGTTTCAACTTGTTTAATGCGCTCGTATGCCGGCGTTACGGCACCCAGGTTTCGCTTCCATATAACATGGTGGGGATTATTGCTGCTCGACACACTGCAAGTTTCGTTTTTGTGCTCAAGTCATGATTGTAGAAAACCCTCTTTTAATTTCCAGAATGCTCTTGAGGCGCTGCTGATTCTGTGCTGAATGTCAGAGTCGATATTTGCCTTTTCCGGAATCAAACTGCCGAGGTAATTAAATTCCGATACATATTCCAATAGTTTTTCTTCGATTTTTATAGCGCTGTTATGATTTTCTGAGGGAGTGCACATGATTTTTGTTATATCGATGTTCAGTTTAAGGCCCAAAGTCTCATAAGCCCAGGTATATGTGTTCAGCATTTCCTGTAATTGCTGTAACGTATTAGCAACTAGAGCGCAGTCACCAGCGTATTGGAGTTCTGTGATGAATTTTATACGTATTTTTGCCCTGAGTCTTTTTATGTTGAACAGACCACCGTCATACCTGTATCTAACACCCATTCCTCTTTCCTGCAGTTTGCCGTCCATCAGCACGCGTCATGAATATGTTGAATAGGAGGCGAGCTAGGACACATCCCTGCCTAACTCCTGTATTTGTCAGGAAGGGATCGCTCAGTAATCCATGATGTGACACTCTCGACTTTTTGTTGTTATGGAGGCTTTTACACACACTAAGAAATTTGTTGGGCACTCCGAACTTTTGTATAATTACCCAAAGTGCATCTCTGTTTAAGGCTTTCGTTAGGTCGATGAATGCAACATAAAGTTTACTCTGCTGTTCCTTTACTTTTTCCTGTAGTTGGCGGACGGAGAATATGGAATCAACGGTATCGCGGTTGGTGCGAAAGCCCGTTTGCGATTCTGGGAGGATTTTTTCTATATGTGGGTGAATGCAGTTTGACATAATTTTTGCGAGAACTTTACTTCCGATAACCAGTAGTGAAATTCCTCGGTAGTTTCCACAATCTGATGCACTTCCTTTGTTCTTAAATATATTTACTATATTTGCGTTGCGAAAGTCCTGATGTATATCTCCTCTTTCCCATATGACATCGAAGAAAGCCTTAAGATGACCAATAAGTCCTTTGCTTGCACACTTGTAGATTTCCGCTGGAATCGCGTCACAGCCAGCCGATTTGTTGTTTTTAAGTTGTTTTATGGAGGCCTTTATTTCCTGTTCCGTTATTGGGATATCTAATACATCAATTCTGTTATACTGAGGTATTGTGTTTAGTGCTTGCATATTGGGGATATTGTCTTGCTTGGCTGTAATGCTCTTTCCAGAGATTTCTGATTTGCTCTTCCTCTTTTTGGGCAGCTTGCGTTCTTAGTTGGGCCGTATACTTCTTTTACAGCCTCGAAGAATTTACGATAATCGTGATGCGAGGGTACTCTTGAAACTGATTCGCTTTTTGTGATCACCAGTTATCCTTTAGTTGGCGCAGTTCTCTTCGAAGCGTGTTATTGGCTGCTTTAAAGTTGTCTACCAGCCTTGGATTGTGTGGATTTGCAGTGACTGCTTGATCTGCTCTATGCTTTTGTTCCAACAAAGCCTGTATATGCGGTTGATGTCGTTAAACCAGTCTGGTTGTTTCTTTTTGTTGGACTTCTCCAGTACTGCTTCCCCAGTACTGCTTTGCTAGTTTTACGAATCGCATCCCTTAATTGTGTCCAGCCTTGTTCAGCTTCCAAGATTGAGATTGAATTTATCGATGGAAGTGATTCTTTGATGACTTCCCGGAGGGCATCGCGTCGGCGGTATTGTGGTTCTCTAGGCCCCGTACGTTCAATCTGGTCATGTTGTTTTGCTTTTTACAGTGTGGATACTTGGGTTTTAACTGAATTTTCATTTTTGAAATTAAAAGTCGGTGGTTAGTGCCGCATTCGGCATGTATTCTGGCTTTTGTGAGTCTGACATCTTTTAGTCCAATTAATGCCAGTGGCCTGGGATGTTTCTGGGATGTTTCCAGGTACCTTTAAACTTGTTTTTCAACATAAACCACGTATTGGTGATGCAAAGATTGTATTCTGTGCATGCTGTTAATAAGCGTTCACCATTGCTATTTACGTTTCCCATTCCATGTTTTCCCAATACGTCAGGCCATATTTCCTGTTGTTTGCCGACACGGGCATTAAAGTCACCTAGGAAGATGATTCGTTCGTGCTTTGGAATTCGTTGGAGAACATTTTGTAGAGGTTGGTAGAATTTATCCTTATTCTCAATTTTAGCGTCTAGGGTGGGAGCGGAGGCACTAATGATGTTGACGTAAGTTTTGTCTGATATGGGGTACCTTAGGGTCATATGACATTCGAACACACCAATAGGTACTTCTGCTAATTTGGTGGCGATTTCGTTTTTGATTGCAATGCTTACGCCATGAATGAAGTATTGCGGGGTGACCCTTCCAACAGACGGTGTAATGCTCATCAGTGAGACTACCTTCATCCGCAAAGCGGGTTTTGCTAAGAGCGGCAACATCTATAATTTAATCGGTGGAGTTCCTGTGAGACCAGTGTTGTTCTTCTCTCTGGTCGATTTGAATTTACCTTGTCCAGTAGAGTGCGAACGTTCCACGCCTCAAACCTGAAACATTGATGTTTTTTGTTTCTCCGAAGATACGCTCGAGTAGGCATCTCCTCCCGGAGATCCGATTGAGGGGGTATTTTACTTCCGGATCATGATTTTGTCCCTCTCGAATGTTCCATCATTGATGTGTGTTAGCTGCGTGAAAAGGTTTAACTGTGGCGGTTACGCTGCCGCATAGTTTTGACTGCAACTGTAGCATGGGATGGCTATGGTACAGTGAGGACCGCGACAATAGGTCCGTTATGCTACGTTCTCGGCCGGCTAGGAGTAGTTTGCTACTCCTCTTCCCTAGAAACTTGGTAGGTCTGAGGGTTGTATAAGGTTATACCACCTATACTCGGACGTCAGAGCCTCGTTTGTGTAAACAGGGTGCATCACGTGAAGGTGAGGTTGCCTTTTTTGTAAGCTAAGCTATATGTATCGCTTCAATACCCCTTGCACCCGTAAAATAACAATACAATTAAAAAACAAATTAAAAAAACTATTATAATTGTAGTTTTCAAGAACAAGTTTTTTTTAATTTCACTTTCTGAAAAATAAGAAAAAAATAGATAGTCTTGTTAGAGTCACTAAATGCGGTATATGAGAGCGATGTCTGTTCTGGAGCATTTCTAATAAGAGTCCAGAACAGTAATTCAGAAGCATAGAAGTAATCCATTTTCCCCGGTACTTTTTCTCCATTGTTAATATGTCTTGATGAAAGCGTTTGCCGTGCTCATCGCTTACATTTCCGCAGATATCAGGAAAAAGTCCAGGTGTTAGTGTAGAAAATGAATCTTCAGAGACATAATGCAACTCATTTTTGATACAATAACAGCACATTTTTAGTATCGTAGTAATCACTTTTTTAATTCCCAAGAAGTTAATGACCACCGACCG